ACGAGATGCTGCCCCGACCCACATGAATACATTAAAGTACCCCTACTGATTCACATAAAAAAAAATAGAGATGTAAACAAAGACACACACATTTTGATAAGTCCATAATGAATAAAGGTGAACAATGCTCGCCTACCATCCAAACAAAAAAACCCTGCTGATCTAATGACACATCTGCACGGTTAGCCTAGATAATGATTTATAAGATTTGGTTCCCATTGACTTCAATGGGGATCAAATTCGGCATCCAAACTCATCATTGGTCACAAGTCATTAACTTTAAAAAAAAAATCAATGTGATACCCAAATGACTCATTTTCATTAGGAGCGACCAGCAACTGTAGTTTAAATAACTCACATAGTACAGATATTACTTAATAGTAGAAGGAATAATAGTTAAAAAGGGATAGCAAACCATGTAATCTTTTAGTATGTGTTGACCTTTAATCTGATAATGTCTACTAGTTAAAGCAATATAAATACAGACATACATATGTGGACATTTCATCAATGAACTGAACAGAAAGTGATACATGAAAGATAACACAGAGAGATAAATTACACAAATTATACCTCAAAGCAAATATCTTCATTTTCATTCACTTCATTCAAAAATTAAATGGATGGATACTAAAAAAAAGCGTACATTTTGCATCAACTAAATAATATATGAATAAATATGCCATGTTACAATAATGATTACCTTCCAGCTGTTGTACTGAATAATCGCATACCCTATCAGGATTCGTACATGTCATCAGGCAGGGAGCACCACATGGCTTATAGTGCCAATCACAATGCCCATCCTTATTGTAATAATCACAGAACAAAGCTGAGAAAGACAACAGTTAGTTAATCATGCTTATATTTTAATAATATAAATTAATTTTACAAAGAACTTGACCTAACACTCCTATTCACCCTGATGGTAACATACTAGATCTTGTTTTCTCTCACCTATGCACTTCTTGCAACCTCTCCAACACCCCTTTCCCACTCTCTGACCACAACATTGTCAGTTTCACACTTACCCTGCCCCCAACCCTGATTCCCCCTACAGCACACTGTCACCCGGAGAAACCTTCACCACCTCGACTCTTCTCTTCTCTACTATGCTACTGACTACCTCTATGACAAAAGCTCACCCTTGTCCTGCCCTGACCTGGCTACTTCTGTCTACAATAGCTCGCTCTCATTCTCCCTAGACACCTTGATTCCCCACACTACACGCAGACTTTGACCACGTCAACTAAAACCATGGCAAACTAAAGGACATAGACATCTAAAAAGACATAGCCGTGCTCTTGAACGACTGCGGCAGAAAACTAGACTTCTTCAAGACTTCACCCTGTAGAAAGCTGCCCTCCTAAAATATAACTCCTTCCTCCGCACTGCCAAACAGACTTATTTTGTCACTCTCATTAACACACTCTCAACCAGACCTCGTCAACTTCTTTCTACTTTTAACTCTCTACTACGTCCTCCGCCACCAACGCCCACTAACTCACTCACTGCCCAGGACATTGCCATTCATTTAAAAAACAAAATAGATACAATTTGGGATCAGATCACCACTGTCCAATCAACTTCCTCCATTAATGTACCAGATCCACCATCACACTTGTTACTTTCCTCTTTTGACCCTGTCACCACAGAGGAGGCTACAAAGGTTTTCTCTGACATCCACCTCACCACTTGCCCCCTGGACCCAGTTCCATCACCACTACTTCGGTCACCCTCTTACTCTGCCCTACACTCTCTTACTCTTCTTTTGAATCTTTCACTCTCTACTGGCATCTTTCCCTCCCTTCTAAAATATGCGCTAGTCACCCCAATACCCAAAAAACCCTCACTGGACCCTACCAACCTCAACAATCTTAGACCAATCTCCTTACTCGTATTCATCTCCACACTCCTAGAATGCCTTATCTACAGCCTCCTGAGCCGCCACAGCACTGATAACAGCCTTCACGACCCCTTACAGTCCGGCTTTCGCCCCATACACTCCACTGAAACCGCCCTCCTAAAACTGACTTACTCACAGCTAAAAACAATGGCCACTACTCCTTACTCTTGCTATCAGACCTTTCTGCTGCTTTTGACACTGTTGACCACCTGCTCCTCCTCAGGAAACTTCACTCACTTGGCCTACACTGCACTCATTCACCTAACCAACTGCTCAGTTTCTGCAACCCCCATCTGCCAATCCCTCCACTGGCTTCCAATAGCCCAAAGGATAAAATGCAAAATATTAACAATGATTTACAGAGCCATTCACAACTCTGCCCCGGCTTTATCTCAAACCTATCTCAAACTTTTCAAAGTATCACCCTAACCATCCCCTCCGCTCTTCAAAATACCTTCTGATTTCAAGCTCCCTCGTCAACTCCTCCTATGCTCGCATCCAGGACTTCACTAGAGTCTCTCCCATCCTCTGGAACTCTTTACCCCAACCTGTCCATCTGTCTCCCGCTCTGACTGCCTTTAGGTGATCCCTTAAGACTCATCTCTTCAGGGAAAGCTATCCCACCTCAATCTACCCGCTCAACCATTATCACTATCACTTCCCCCTCTCTTTTAGATTGTAAGCCCTTAGGGTCAGGTCCCTCCTTACCATCTTGTCTTTAATTGTATTGTGATTGTAATGTCTTCCTTATATTGTAAAGCACTGCACAAACTGTTGGCGCTATATAAATCCTGTATAATAATATAATAATAATAACCTAAAAAAGGGACAGGGGACGCCTATTGCTGGCCTCCATCTAAAAACACAGGTTTACTTGGTGTCTCTTTATTTAGTACCTGCTGAGTTGCTAACTTGGTACAAACATGCAGATTAGAAAATCAGAGTAAAATCAGGATACCCAATTTGCATACATGATCTGGACCGGTGCCTTAAAAAGTATTAAAGCCACTGGATCAGCATGACAGCCAGGGAACTAACATTCTCAGAAGGAGAGATCAGCCAAGACAGCCTCCATATTCTCTCTACACAGGTTTTCTAGATTGACAAAGTTATAGGGTAATTAAAGTATGGCAACATATAATACAAGGCTTACGACAAATGTGTGGAGTCCTCCATTTTATACAGATGTCATGTTTTCGGCACTCTGTAGCGTATGTGGCTACAGAAGCACACAGACACTCACAATCCCCAATGCCAGTACTGCAGCTGCATGTATCAGCCACACAGGTGTCATAGAATTCTTTAGTTTCCACCTGCAAAAACATTAGGAGCATCAATTATAAGCAGATCAAAATAAAATGCAGTGTGTACAGGGACTGCTAAGTAGTCTTGTGCAAGGTACAATGCCTAAACTTCTAACTGACTCTGGGAAGCATTTTAACCACTTTAGGATTTTAAATGCAGGAGATACATAATAAAAACTTCAACAAAACATTTGGGACATATCTGCAAGGCCTTGCTAGTCTCCTGTTGCTACTGCATTCCCACCACAAATACCATAAATTCATGGCTGTCAAAATTACAATCGGGAATTTCTGTCAATTGCCACTCCTGTGTAAAATGACACTTGTGCATAGTCTGCAAATGTCATTGAAAAATACATTATAAATACAATAATAAATAATAATAATAATAATAAATACAAATAACATTGGCAAAAACAACAATAAGGTGTCATTTTATGTGGAACAATTTAAACTATAAAATTTATGCATGTGATTTACAGTAAAAATTATGTTTTAAACTAGCAATGGTCAAATGAGGGGAAAAATATATATATTTTTAAATTTTATTTATATCTTTTTGTTCAAAAATTACATAGAAAATAAAATACATTTTGCAAGACAATACTGTCAAAAGAAAATTGTATTTCCCCCATCAAAAAATGTATGTATTCATTGTTATTCTTAAGAATCACAAGGTTATCACCAAATCAACAGTCCCAAAGTGGAAATTGAAAAGTTTCTCTTGTCCTTAAAGAGTATAAAAGTACAAGAGCAGAAGTTGTTAATAAATATATAAAATTTCTGCAACTATATTGCCTTTAATGCCATACATCCACTAGCTGCCAGCCTTGATAATTTTTCTACTACCATTTTGATTGGTTTTGACTAATACTGTATTGTAGGATTGGAACCCAAAGTAGAAAGTGTTTGGCTGGGTTTGCCACAGACTTGTCAAATCTGTTGGCAAGGTTTGTGCTTTCCAAATACTTCAACCCAACAATCTGCTACCCACAATTTAATTTTTTTTACCCAATGTCCAAGTTTCAAAGGGACCAAATGATCAGAATTGTCATAGAAATTAATCAAAAGCAATGTAATGTCAAGTGAAGGATATTTTCAATTGTTCAATAGTTTTCAAGCTGTTGAAAAGCTCTAAAACTGCCCAACCATTAATGCTATTAAAGACATCTCTTTTATTAGAGATGACTGGATGGAGAGGAAAAATCAATGCATTTAAAGAAAAATAAAAGCTCATTCTGCTATACAGTATGTGAATCAAGGTGATCTGTGTTTGATTTGGTCTGTGCATCTCTATCCACAGCACTTAGCAGACGATGAAGGCTTCCCATTACCTTATGACTTGGTTGCAGTTGTGCTGACTGCAACGCCTGCTCATGAGTCACAATCTCCAGTCAAAAATAATTGGCTTTTTTCATCCACTCTCTACCTACTGAGAGGCTCAAATTTTAATCCAGCCATGCACCTCATGCAAATGACTATCCCACTAATCAAAAGCATATAGATATTATTATTCTCAACCACCCTAAATCTGAGACAAGAAAAATGCAAGCTTCCCCTACTTATAACTCAAAGATGTTATGGACACAGAATCAAATCAGAAGAGGTTTCCTTTAAAAGTAAATGTTAAAGGCAAAGTGAGTGGATATAAAGTGAATATCAATAAATAATAACTTGTGCCCACACTGTGAACCTACAAACTATTTGCATATTTATAACAAGCATTAAAGATTTTTAAAACAAAGCATCACTGACATCTCTAGCAGCTTTTAATGTGACCTTATTTATTCTCAAACTTCATCAAATACCACAACAAACACCGTTAAGTCGGTTTCAGTCATTCTAACAGCTTTAAAAACACCTTCTGGTTGTTTACAATAGAGGGCTGGCAGGATGCCAAGATCTGTTCTGGTAGTAGATGCCTGTATTTTACATACATTTTTTACATACATTTCTCCACAAATCTTTTAGCTACGGAGATGAATAAGGGTTTATTTTAGAGTGCTTTTACTGCTTGTTCAGAATATGTAAATAAATTAGGGGGCTATTCACGAACGAGCCAAAGCATCCAGCCATAGCTTCGGCTCTCTTTGGCCACCCAGTCGAACTGAAGGGCTGCTGTACAGGCTATATGGGCTATGGGTTGTAATGACAGATCAGCGTCCCCCAAATTACCTCTACAACTCTAGCAGGTGCCGGCCAAAAGGAAACAGTTGGGTGGAGCCAGCTGTCACTGCTTGCTCCGCCTATTTATTTATTTAAATCTTTATTTATTTTTTAATTTTACTATTTATTTAAATTATTTTATTTTTTTCAACTTTTTTTTGTTTGTCGACAATTTTCACTTCTTTTCTATACTGCTCAGTACCACGGAGGTACCGAGCAGAATAGCCGAGCTGAATGCCTCTTGGTGGCATTTGGCTATTCACTCACTGCCTTTCAGCCCCTATGAGAATAGGGGCAAAGGGCAGCGAGTGAGCTGCCGGAACCTGGGCTCAGCTTATCCAGATGTTAGATTGGCTGAGTCGAAGTCCTTCTGCACTTCAGTTCAGCCAAACATGCAGAGCATGTCCGGCTGACCGAAGTGCAGCCAAAGGCAGCCAATGTACGGCTTATTTTAGCCGATGTACGGCTGAAATCAGCCGTACAAGCCAGAATTGAGTAGCCAAACGTAGTTCGGCTCACTTCACTTCGGCTGGGTTATTCACTCGGCTGCCTTTGGCAGCTGAGTGTATAACCTTCTTAGTGTTATCTGGGCACAGGTTCACTTTAAATACTAGCAGGAAATTTGTTCACAAACAGTAAGCATTTGTTTAGTTACCTGTTAAATATGACATGCATTTTTACAAGTAATGACAGTAAAGCATGACTATGTATGCCATTTGCTCGTCAATAAAAAATGTAAACTGATATGTTACCGATGTGTGGCAGGGAACAAAGACATCACTGTTGATTATGTTGCAGTGTTTTTCAGCCCAGGTTAATCTTTCTGGACGATCATGACATGGGTCAAGCTGTGGAGGCTTAATTTCACAGCTTTGTGACCAGGGAGAGGTAAAGTCATTGTTTGACTGGCCATCATTATTTCCACACAGTCCACAGATTTTGCCCTGATAAGTAAACACACAGTTACAAGAAAGTAGACATCATGTACATTGTTATGTGAAAATGAGATGATAAAAAAACATATGTACTGTGTATAAAAAGTGGTCCGGTGGCTATAGAGCCGCTTGATCGCTTGTATATGAGTGCCAGTAGGTGCGCCCGCCCCCCTCTGCAGCGCTAGTTCCGAGCTCCGCAGCGCTGGTCCCGAGCTCCACTGTGCCAGGTGCAAGCCTGGGACCGGCACGGCGACTCTGTGACAGGGGATCAGAGGGAGATTGTGTGCGGATCTCCTCTCCAGTGTGAGAATGCAGAAAGTGCATTCTCCAGCTTCAGAAGCTGGAGAGAAGCTGATGAAACAGATCTCTGCTTCATCAGCTTCTTTGGGGGTCCCTAGCTGACATTAGGGGTCTTAAAGACCCCTGATGTCTCCATAAAGCGGACCTTTCACATCTTTCACATCCTCTTTTCTGTCACATAGGGGGCTTCTTAATCCCCTATGTGATAACAATGAAGTTAAGTGAAAAAAAAGTAAAAGAAAGATGAAAGTTGTAAAAAAAAAATTAAGTCACAAATATAAGAGTTAAAAAAACCGCAAACATTTTTTTAAAGTCGCCAGCCCCAAATACACACGAGCAAACATGCTTTGGGTGTGCGTACGTCTGAAAATGATGATTGCGCCTATTAAGCCGCACCTGTTACATATCACCGCGAATGTCAGAGCACAAACAATGATTTTAGGACCATTATTCACTGATAACACTAAACTGATGAGCGGTAAAAGCTTTTAAAACATCGCTATGGCCAATTTTGGGTATGGTAGGTTTTTGTGATTTCTCGGGTGCACAATTTTAGGGCTTGACATGTTTGGTGTCTATTTACCCGACGTGACCCTGTCTTTTATATTATACCAAAAAATTGGGTAATAAATGCATAATAACATAATGTAAAAAAATGTCTGCAATTTTTCCTTAATATTGTAAAAAAAAAAAAAAACACAGTTGTAATTAAATATCACCAAATGAAAGCTCTGTCTGTTCCCAAAAAAATGATATAAAATGTATTTCAGTACAGCATTGCATGACTGAATATACAGTATGTCAGTCACAGTATCGAAGCACTGAATACTGAATACTGAAAAATGGCCTGGCCAGGAAGGGGGTGTAAACGCCTGAAGAGGAATTTATCAAAACTGGAGCAGACAAATACTGGAGCAGATGTGCATGGCAACCAATCAGCTTCTCTCTTCAGTTTGTTCAGGTAAGATTTGAAAATCAAAGAGAAAGGCTGATTGGTTACCATGAACATCTGCTCCAGTTTTTGTCCGCTCCAGTCTGGATACATTTCCCTCTATGTCTTTAAGTGGTTAATTAGTGTCCAAGTTTCATGGTACTTTAAACATATTAATTAGCCACATTGTGGATACCCTGTCCCCCAACTGATCTGTAGCCTCTCCGATAAAATGCTATCTGTATTTCTGATGTATAAATATGTTATGAATTGTATTATTTTCCTGTGCATTCCAAATCTTTGTGTGTGAAGTGTTTTCCAGTTCCCCCTATTGATTACTACCGTAATAAAGGGCAGCAGGATATTGCCTGTGACCACTTTGTGCAGAAGCACCTGAGAGTCAAAACACTGCAGTCACTGGCAGACCCCATCTCACATCTACATAAACATTACATTTACAAACAACTTATGGGGCAGACCATGATAAAGTGTGCTTGAACCCCTTCCAAGTTCTGTGCCTTTATTACCATTTTGCAGCCAGACAGCTGTGAATAACTCTTGAACAGAATTTGAAGCCATAACCATAGCATACATACATACATACATACCTCAGTTGAGTTTGTAACTTCCACGGTAGCTGTCAGTTTCTGATCATATGAAATGGTCAAGTATTCATTCTTGAGAACAATATTTTGCCCCACTAAGCCAACACTGTAAGATGTATCTTTTAGTTTATTATGATGTCTGTCGGTCTCTTCTACCTGTCCTTCATATATTTCAATAATTGTGTTCTGAAAAAAAATGTTATAGTTGACTGATAGGAGGCTGAATAATACTCTACACAAATTATATTAAACCCTGTAAAGAAACAAAAGTAAGCAAGGCAGTCCTGAAGCTTTGCTGCCTGCCCCTTAAGGTCTCTGCACTTAGTGACAGTACTGCCCAATGCGCCACATAATCTCTCTTTATAATTTCCGTGACAATATTGACTTTCTGAACATTATACTTTATTTCTATATGGCTGCGCACTCGCCCCACTGATAGTGATTGGGCCTACCATTAGATTTCTTAGGCACTGAACTCTGAGTTGTGGGAGGCTGAGGGTTGTGCTGGGGCATCCTAAACCCAGAAGTTTGATTTTTTTCCAGAAATGAAGCTTTGCCCTGTGTAGGAGGGTAGCACTGCGAAGGTAGTAGCTTCATAGTTATTTTTCTTATTTTGGGCTGGTTTATGTAGACACCATTAAAGGGTAACTCTATGATATAGGTGACATGACCAGCCGGTGGTGCTACAAATGAGATAGTCACTCTATGTTTCCTATAAATTACCCAGAGTTAAAGACATAAATGAATGCATAAATCTTAATTTGAATACAGTGCAATAATCTTGCATATAGTGTAAATATATCATTACAGCTATGCAGTAATGTCACTATCACATGAGTAGTGATGGCATAACTATGCTAAATAGACCTCATATATAAATGTTTTAATGTTTCTTACAGTAGCCACTGAGTTCCCTATTTTCATTTTCTGATTTGGTGCTAACAACATTTACTCTTGCCTTTCAGGTTTTTAGCTTTCAGTGCAGAGATATTGGCACTGCAAGACCTCTGTACAAGACCCAAAGGTACATCACACAGTCAGCACCCATTCACAACAGCTGCTGTGCTAAATCGCACAGCAGCTGGTGTGCGGTGCCTGACACAGTACTGATGTATCTACCCTAGCACATCCCACAGTGTACTTTTTTTTAGGACATTATTGAAATATCACAAGTGACATTTCTTTTAGTTCTACAAGCACAAATGGGTGAGAGACAGTTGTACTCCCGCTACGCTGAAAAACAAGTTCTGCATGCCGCACACCACCGTGTTCGAACGCAATATTGCTGTGTGAATGATGTCCAGCCATGATGAGGCAAATTGGCTTGTCGTGCATTAGGACTGCGCTGGGAGAAATGGCCAGTGCAGGCCCAAGGCATCAGCTGTCAATAGGCCCTAGCACATGAAAGCTGAACTTCAGTCTTACTTTAAGGGACCTAATCAATGTTTTCACACAACATTCCCTCAAGATATTTTTCAGATTGAATATTGGTTAAAAATGAACAAACAGTATATAACACAGCGCCAACGGCTTGAGTCCAGGAAAGTAGACAGTCTGCAGTGATCGTGATATAAGACACTAGCGAGGCAGCTCTCAATAGGTTTTAGGGAAACCTCAGCACTGCAAAACAAAACACAGAGAGCGCCTCCATTGCGTAAAAACAAATTTAAACAAGTGCAATAATACTCACAAAAGTCTAGTTAAAACAGGCATGAAATGATATGAACACGAGGGACTTAGCCAGCCGGCTGTTCGTCCTCCCTGATGGTTTACGCGTTTCTGAGATCACGCCTCCTTCATCAGAACCAATCTGTCACAATCTGGTTGGTTCTGACAAAGGAGGCGTGACCTCAGAAACACGTAAACCATCAGGGAGGACGAACAGCCGGCTGGCTAAGTCCCTCATGTTCATATCATTTCATGCCTGTTTTAACTCGACTTTTGTGAGTAATATTGCACTTGTTTAAATTTGTTTTAATAAAAAGTTTTTACGCGATGGAGGCGCTCTCTGTGTTTTGTTTTGGTTAAAAATTGTGTGAACCTTTGGTGCAAACATTTATCAACAGAATCCTTAATGTTTAGCCAATGTACAGTTTCCTCTGCTGACCAGACTACAGAAAATCGCATAGCTCTGTGCACTGTGAGAAAAAGAAACAGCCTATTTCCCAATATCAGCTGTACCACTTTCTTTGTGGATGAAGATCAGCATCATCCAGCCTCACCTCCCTAGCCTGGATATCTCTGAGCTGCCCCTTTTAGATAATTGGACAGCTGCACTGTCATTTACAGCAGCCCTGCATTACCCATTGCGGTCCTCATGCTAAAGTAGTTTGCCTAAAAACACCCACCCCTCATCACAGACATATATATCTACCAACATCTCCACCAGCTGCTGGATTTCCGAGTTGAAGGTACCCAGCGATTACATCAATAAGTCTAAAACATGCTATGTGCATGAAAAATTTGCCTGGAAATTAATGATCGGAGTACTATATTGTTGTTCTTCTGTTCCCAACAATCTCATGCTTGATGAATTATCCTGATTTTGTCATTCCATATAGGAATGACTTAAAACTGGGCTTGGTACGCCCATATATTGGGTGGAAGCCTAGTGTGAGTGGAATGAGACTAAACATATCTGTTTTAATTCATACATTTTAGGAGGTATATAAAAACAATCTAAAGGACTACAGAAAGTCAAATATCCAATATCATGACAATCTCTCAGTATCTATATATTGATCACGACTGAAGAGTATGGGAAGATTTTAGGAAGATAATGACAGCAAAAAAAAATGTAAATACGCCTTACCAATAAGGTGACCTTAATGCTGTATGAGCACACTGTATTGCTCCCAATGCACATGATGGTCTTTAGAATAACCTGGAAGATGCCTTTATCAGGATTGTTTGGACAGAAATCCTTTTAGGAAGACACATAAAAAAAGACATAAGCAATTAAATGGTCAGCTAAAGAAAAAAAAACTAAAATTTTGTTTGCTTAAAAACCCCCCAAAAATGGGCTTTTGTAGACATGAATAAGAAAGTCAAGCACTACCTTAATGCTTTATGGCCGATTGTAGTAATCCACTAGTAAAGATGCTACCATCTTTGCAGAATGTCCCTCCTCTCACCCATGTTGGTCTATTTATAGTGCAGCAGATAAGAAGAAATTATTTGTATGCAAAATTCCAGATTGAAAAGAAGTTTTTTTTTTTTTTTTAACACAAAACATAATTATTTAAATAAATTAATAATATATACTAAAAGCAATATAGATGTTTACATTTAAGATGCATTAACAAATTGGATGATTGGACATTAGACATGCGCGATTCATGTCGTTCCAAATTGAAATTAGGATGAATTTTGACATGTTTGTACATTCAGATGCATCCAAATTTCCGAATGAGAAATAATGAATCCGAACATATCCGAATTTTTGATAAAAATTTCGGATGCATCTGAAATTTTTCCGAATGTGATTCAGGATTAATTTATGTTGTTAAACAGTAAAAAGAAAAGCATGGGGTCCCCCCAATAAGTTCTAGTCAATTATAAATCTGTCTCAGATAACATTCATAACCTAAATATAAAAAATAACAAAGGGGCATGTTTCCAAGAAAATGGAACCCTGACCCCTGGCAGCAACATAAAAAGGTTTAGCTCCCCTGCTTCAGAGAAAGCGTAAAACTCAATGCTATAAAGAGTCAAGCAAAAATTCACTTAGATGACCCTTAATGAAGAGCCACTGTTCATGTGCGGGCCCTAATTGGTCAGAAAACACTGAAATACACTAGTAACATTTTAATTTCTCAAATACTCATCCACATAGACATAACCAAATCAGTACCTGAACTAGGACATAATCACAGTCACCACTAAACTCCTTCCTTGACTGATCAAAGGAGATAAGATGACCATTTCCATATACTGTGCAGGTCTTTGGGCAATGCTTATTGGTACAAGCCCACGTTCTCTTCTTACATGTACTGTGGATAAAGCAGAGGTAACTATTTTAATGCTGCTTCTAAAGTTAAAGAGAACCTGCCAGATGTATTGCAATAATGAAGCATTGTAAAGCAGATGGACACAACATTGAAATTGCTTTTATTTTATGAAATTGTGCTGCCAGTGTTGAGAAATTGGCAAGTTAAAATCAGCTGTTCAGTGTCTACTGATTAATCTTCTTACTAGCAGAGAGCTGAAGAGTTAAGCTGGCCTTATATTGATATCTTTTTTTCGTTCAACCTGTGGCCTGAATGGAAAAAATAGACCCGATTCCTCCATCAACACTAACAATGTGTCGATTGAGGAATCCCGTAGTTTATATACAGCGGCTGCCGGCACCTGTCAGAATATCCAACCAGAGCGGGCAGCTCATTGGCTGCTGGCTCTGATCGATCAAAGATTTTCCAACCGGCTCCTTCGATCAGCTGATAGAGGGATGCCGATCGAAAGGGTGGCGACAGCGGCACACACTGTGCGAATTTAGGCCAGTTTCTTAAAAAATGGCCGAAATTCGAACAGTGTATGGGCACCTTTAGGTGTAAGTGAAGGCTCCATAATGGGGACAGAGAGAGCAATAAAAAGCTAACAAGAGTTCTATGTCTTTATCACGCTGTCAAAAATGTACCAAAATGTTTTGGCTTGGGTTGAACTTAAAGTATACAGGTTAATTAGTTTATGTAGTATTTTTTTTTCACAAGGTGCATTGCAAATTGCTATTTTATGAGCCAATATTTTGAATTGTGTGAGGCTATTTGATCTCTACTAAATACACACAGATACTCAAATATACATTACATACAGTATATACGATGAGTTCACCTTTTAAAACACCTTTTATTTATCCAGAAAAATCAAACAAGTGGAAAATAACACAATTCTCCTGCTATGCCTTCAGAACTCACCAAGAATTCTCCATGCTCTCTTCAATTTAAACGTTAAAAAACCTCACCTGTGGACACCTTAAAATGCAGGAACCTAATAGAAAGCACTCTATGGATCCCTATTAATATGAAATAAATCCATCCAAAATATGAAGTGTATTAAATCTAACATACAGAGACTACAGACTTTATGGTATCTTTGCCCCTAAAGCAAATAAGGGGTAGTCCAAGAGACAAACAGTGCTAGCAGTAAGTCTCAAAGAAGAACTCCATGCAAGTGTGTTCCTAAGTTAGGTGCTAGTTTTTGTCAAGGTGATTAAAAAAAAGTTAAACTCACTCGAACTGGTGAACCAGCTGCCTGCTTCTCCGGTCACTGAAGCCTCTCTTCCTGCACTGCAGCGTTGGAATGTTTCTCCTCATGTCTATACACTGTATAGAATGTGATGATTTACAGGACCTTAGACCACTGCAGCGGAGGAGAAGAGATGCTCCAGGTACCGGACTAAGAGCAAGCTGGCACCTTTTTATTTTTGAATCTAGTCAAAAACTAGCAGTTAACACTTGCAGTGTGGGGTAGCTCCACTGAAAGGGTTAATAAACATTCTGCCCGGAGTTCTGCGGTAATAACCTAAAAATTAGATGCTATGGGCAATTGGGGTCATATTTAAGTTAATGATTACTAGGAAATACTTAAATTAATTTACAGTCTCAAACATTTTATTTTTTAATGGGTGATAGAACAGATACTGTACCATCTATTGCAGGATATAGAAATGACCTCCTCTTGGTTATAGAACTTCCCCCCATACACACATGGGCATTGGTTTGAATGGATGCAGCCTCCCTTGTCATCAGACACCAGGCCTTCAGGACAGACACAACCGGGCATGCATTCTGAATTGTACTGGTAAAAAAATGTAAATCTCTTAGAATTTACACTTAATAAATTAAGGTGCATTTACAACCAAACATAAAGCAGTGAAGGATTGGAGCCCCTATCAGGTTTTTATTGCTGCCTTTATCCCTGCTAGGTAGATTTATTCTCTACTATGCTGGTGACTATTGCCACCGAGATAACAATATGGGAACCTAAACCCCAAGTAAAGGTAAATCTCCCTAACAGGACACAGACAGCGAAAAAGAAACTGATGGGTTTTAATGCTTTCTCTATCTAAAAAAAGTTTGCTGTACATACACTTGTAATGATTTAATATATTAAATAATGTCTAAAATGAGTAATTATAAAACCACACAGATGTAATTAACTTGGTTAAGAACAGCTAATGTGATTCATAAAACCACATATAAATAACATCACTATTATAGAAAAAAAAAAATACGCTTGATAAAGTTATAATTCAATACTGAACAAGAGATTGTATTGGAGTAACTGGACACCATAAGACAGCATCCTTCTTTTTATGCATCCATAGATTTCACACTTTTTCTCAGTGACTCTGGCCATAATTATCTACTATGGTTGCATGAGTTAGAGTATTTGGCTTCTGCATTGGCTTGGTTGTTTGGTGTGTTTCAAATCCAGAAATGTTAACATAAATCATTTTTATTGGGTGTGTTATAGTCTTATTTCACTGGAAATATTAATACATAATACCCAAAACCAATACCCAAAACCTTAATTTCTACTTGACCTTTAACCCTTTATATCCAGATCTCATTGACGGATACAGGCCTAGACCAAATGCACTGGTAGGTATCAGTTAACTTGACAATAACGGTTAATAATTTTAAATGATCATTTCATTTGGTTTTTAATTTATTTTATTAAATATCCTTCTAAATGTTTTATTATAGGCTTATAAATGCACGAAAATGTGAAAAAGTTTATTTTTTTTCATTTTTAAAAATAATTGTAATTATATATGATTGACAAGCACCATATTAAACTGAGGTACACAAACATTTTTTTTGTAATGAACCTCCAATTTGCCAAAGAAAACCATGACTGGCTATAATGTTGATTATACAAAGTTACATAGTATTATATGTTTGGGAACCATGGTAATTGGTTTCTAGTAGTTATAGAAAGGCCCAGAGCTGTCACAGACAGCAAGGTCATAAAAGCAGGAATACACACACAAGCGCTGTCCTAATATTTTACATGAACAGGTAAAAAAAATGTAAATTAAAATTTTCACGGAACAGCAAAATATACCTGAGAACAAAAATAGCCAGATTGCAGACACTTGGGGGTTAAGCCTAGCCTCAAAACTTAACACATACACCAAACCTGGACCACTAACCATACATATCAGTGAATTGTATATTGTCAATTAAATAAATATTACATTGTCACAGCAATAAATAATAGTGGGCCACTATCAGAGAAAATTTGGTCAGAATTCCAAAGCCATTATGTTTGCCAATTCCTAACTAGCTTTCATTTATATATGATTGAGAATAAATATATTAGTTAAAGCAGGGCTCGACAAATCCCAGGCACCAGGTCAGCAATGAGACTAAAAATTGCATCCTGGGGCCTGGGCTTTTGTCAGCCCATTCACCGTACCTTTCTTCTATGGCCCGACACCTGGGACATGCAAATCTGGGCACCTGGCGGGTGTTTTTTTTTCTACATTTAGCCCTACTCTGGGCACACAGCACTAAATGTACAGCAGGGCAAGCTGGCGCTCGTTTTTGTACAAGTGATCGCCCCGGATCACTTGTATAGACTGCTCATTCGTCCTCCCTCTCCCTGGTCCTTCCCTCCAAAGTCCATCCCCATAGCTGCCTGTCACCTTTGAATTATAGCACATAGGTGCTTCTTATCCCCTGTGTGATATAAATAGTTAAGTGAAAAATGTTTTACAAAGTGATACAAAATAAACAAAATAAAATACAAATTTAAATTAAAAAAGGGCTAAAAAGGTTTTTAAAAAGTGCTGAAAGTACTAAAAAGGTAAATAAAAACTAAATTAAAATAAAACCCAACCCCCCACCCCCTCCCCACCATCTGTGCACGAGGATTTAGTTATACAAAGTTTGCAAAACACTGTATGTGGAAGCCACACTGTCTTGCCAAGGTGTAGTGTGGTCCTAACCCTAGTCTATGAGAGCTACCGACTTGCCTGGAGTTAGCCCTTTCTTTCTTACAGGCAGAGGGACTTTTTTTGCAGGCTGGCAGATAAGTGTGCTGGGAATTTTTTTTTGTGTACTGTGTAAAGCCCCTCCATGCGCACCTTACTTTAAAGCTAATTATAAATTGATTTGTGTGGTTGCCATTTGCTTGATTTGATGTGAGCACAAACTGGGGGCTTCAGCTGCCATTGTGATGTGCTGGGCTTCTGGTGGGTCCATATGCCTTTAAGAAGGAATGCGCAATCTCCTGGTGAACCTGCACTCATTTTATCCATTGCTTTATATGCTCCAAGATGTAGGCTCTCATAGATTAGAGTTAGAATCACACTACACAGGGGAGCCTTGACGAGACAGTGGCTTCCACATATTTTGCAAAAGCTGTGCCACTAAAACCTCTGTTTTAACACAAATTGTTAGACAGTGTAACTTATTGCCTTGTTCTGAAGTAAGGGGAAATCTGCCATGTGGAGACACTGACAGCAATAAAAACTTGGAAAAAAGAAAATAGCACTACGCTTCAAACTCACTCACTCAAATGTGAAAAAAATAGTTTTTTTTTTTTTTTTTTACTATCATCAGCACAGGCATTGTGCAACACAGGTGTTGTGTATGACACAAATTTGCATATCCCTTTGTGACAATTTCACATTTTATACAATTTTTTTTCACATTATAGGAATATAATTTTCGAGTTTGAAGCACAGTGCTATTTTCTTTTTTCCTATTTTGGGTGTACTCACCTATTAAGCACAGCTGCTCTTAGAGTGTTATTTGATTCCTAGCGCAGTTTCTTTCTATCTAGCAATAAAAACTTGGCAGAAATGTCAACCTTTCCTCACTTTACAAGAAAAAAATGTCTTTATTGCCCTCTGTGTCCCTGTTGTGGATATTAACTCTCTATTTCTGTATCTTCCAACACCTGTCAAATCATTAGGAAGAAAGAGGAAATCTCTCAAACGTGACACAAACAGATATGTGAAGTTCACATTAGTTATATAACTTCTCCAATTCCAAAACCCCCCAAAAAGTGTTGAAAAGAGTTGGGATTAAAGAAGAACTATATCTGCTTTCCATTGCAACTAATCATGAGTTCCTTTCCTATTCTGATCGGCACTAAAATAAAATCATTTGTTTGTTGTTCCTGTTGATGACAATGACAGTTAGTAAAGACATTTTATAACTATATATAAGTGATACTATGTGCTCTTTTTGCAAATTGTTCTTGCTTACACATTCCATGTCCTGAGTTTTACAGCTTTTTTGACACTGTGAGCCCCGTGTTTTGGGATCAGGAGTTTTGCAGTCATAGAAATACATGGGTGGGCGGCAGACTACAAAAGATAGAAATAAGCATTAGTAACACTTGGGTTATTTGTGTGAAAAATAAAACAGGCATACAAACAGAAGAAAGGTCGGCCACACAACAGGTTCCACTTGAATAGTTTGAAATAGGACCTTGGGCAGGACACCAATGATGTGCTACAAGCTTCAAAAAAATATTCCAGTGGAACCTGGTGTGCGACCAGCTTCTCTTCTGTTTGTATGGGATCATGTGGAGGAGTGGGGCTTCTTTTGTGTGTTCTTGCAAATAAATTGGGCAGCCACAAATCGCTTATTTTAAGTGAACAAATCTCATAAATAATATTCAATTATTGTCATTTGTTTGGGGCCACTCTAAATTTAAACCCAAAGAAACATTATTTGTCTCAGGCTTAGGTTTGCCAAAATTGCACTACTGGAACAAATTGTCAAAACAAATGTGCCATTATTTCATAGAAAACATCTATAATCATGGTCTCTACATATATCCTTGTTACAAGAGAGATGTTTTGGTAAAGCTTTTACTGTAAGGCTTCAAGGTTCAAAGCCTGACCACCTGTTCCAGAGTTCAGTTTGTGGCCTTGTATTGTACTTCACAAAACCTTGGTTACATAGTAGATCTAAACCCTAACTGAATGACATTCGGTTTGCTAAATCTCCATGTATAAGACAGATTGTTGCGTTTTTCTTCCCCAATAAATACTGTATATGCCTTTTCATCCATTTTTACCTCACAGTGCAACTGAACTTCTCTGGTCCCTTTCAGTCATTTCCTTTCTACATGCACTCCCTCCCTTAAGGCATCAACTGTACATTATTGCTTTTGATTGGCTTCCTGAGAGTGACAATCCTGGTCCATATCTGTGCTATTTGTGTTGGATTAACTGCTCAAAGTCTTCAGTAGTGGCATATGTGATGAAGTGACAATGCAAGAGCACAATTAAAAGTTGGTTTCTACTAGGAATGTCCAGATAACAAGAATCGTACTTGGTACAAGTACAAGTGCTAATAATGTTCCAGCTCCAAGACTAGACCCAGCACAAACCAGACCAAGTACAAGTACCGATACTTGTCCAAGTACTCACAGATACCAATTACTACTAAATGTTGTTTAGTGTAATGTGACAGTTTTTCTAAAACACTACAGACTAATGATTTCATGTACAGTGGTGAAGCGCCAGGGCCCTGTCACAGCTGCAACCACTGCAACCCTGATCGTTTGGGTGAAAATACCAAGTATCGGCACTGGTACACAAACTGATATCTGAACATCCCTAATTTCTACTCCAAAACAGGAAGTACCTGAAGGACCTTATAGCAGGACCATCAGCTATTATTTCAATGAAAGCTGAATATTTAATGAGATTAAAAACAACTATTAAAATGACATTACCATTTAAAGCTTATATCAGATTTAAGGTTTTGGCCTTTCAATCTACTTTAAGGAAGACGTTCCTTTATTAAAGAGCTGGGCAGTGGTGCTCAGATAGACTTTGGGTTTTCTGAGGTGGAACATGGGAGCAAGAAGAGTGTTGTCATGTTGCAATGATGCCAGAGCAGTGGACCACAAGGGTCACATTCAAATATCAAAGCAGCAATAGAGACCTTTGTGTTGAGGTGAGAGCAAGCACCACACAGCTGTGCTGTCATACAGTATACCAATACCTGAAGTTCCTCCTGTGCATGCCCTGACTTAAATGCATAGGGGTGACAACTACACTACATCTTTTTTCTGTTACCTGTTCTTAGGATATTAGATGCTGGTAGTTTTGATGAATTGGCAGGGGCTGACTACCTATGGCCAACATATGTTGTACACAATCTACCTAATTTATGACCCAATAAATACTGTGTATCTTTCAGTAACTCACGTACTCTTTTCAGGCACATCATGGTTAGGGCACTCCAGAATTCCACGAATACATTTGCTAGAAAAAAGAAAAAGCAGAAAAACATCCTTCTACCATAAACAATGTTGTGGACAATTTATTGTATATAGTCCTTAAAAAACATTTGGGCAAAACAGTAAACAGAATTTTAGAACAATTTTTGATGTCCTAAAATTGTCATACTTGTCATGTCTTTGGGGGCTGAAAAGAATGCTAAGCTAACATTGGAAATATAAAAAATAATTCACATTAACACTTGTATCCATGTCTTAAAAACAACTGAGGACCACTGTCTTAAAGGAAAGACATCACTATGTTCATCTGAAATGTTCATGCTCACAAAGAATCATCTTTTAGGCCTCATTTATATAGGTCTCCTGTTTTGGTTTATTTAAATGCAGGAGAACTTTATCTGGTAAGCATAGTGTTTGTTTTGCATCTACAGTATATGTAAAATGTACAGGTGTTTACGTGCAATAACATGCATGCCAGTGTTCCGCGCAGACCTTTCCCTCTTTCCTATTCCAGAATATACTGAGGTTTCATTTTTTCATATGCTTACATGCATTTACAAGTGTTTAGATGCGCTCAGAGTATCTATTCTGCCTCTGGAACGCACCGATTTCTATATTCTATTAAACTGAACGCACCTGAAAGAAAGTAAGTGCACAGTGTGCATATTAAATCATTACATTTAATTAATTAATTTATTAATGTCCAATAAATACATATTAATAATTACATATGCATGAATGTCATTACCTTTGTGAATAAGGCCCTACTGCTGTTGACTATATTTAGTCAACTAAAATAAATTAAGAAAGTTTACCTATGCACCAGAGCATAATTGCAAACAATTTAATCAATGTAGTCACTGAAGTTTCTTACCACAGAATGTCATCTACTTTGTATGTCTGGTGGGCTGGGACACTTTTTCCCTTGTAGCTACAAGGGCAATCCTCTGGAAGCACACACTTTTCGTTGTCTACCAGGTACATCCCTTTCAGGCAGGTACAGCCCTCTTTGGAAAGTGATCTCAGATTGCAAAGAATGTCCGGTTCTGCTAAAGATGTGCAGCTAACATTACAGTGCCGCGGGTTCAATGAAAACACCATGGTTTCAGGACATTCTGGATCTGTTGGTTAGAAAAAAACAGTAGATTTCTTGTATGATTTGTAGTAAAGGCTAATTTTTTAGTAGTTTAGAAGGTATTGTAAACTTGTCTCAGTGATCCCTCTTCCCCTCATTTCCTCTTCTTGCCCTGGTGTGATATGGAAGTGACATGCAACGATAATAACCTGACAAACATTTGAACTCTTTCTTATGCTATTTAGTACTAGAAATTAGTTTTGGCTGGAGCCAGGTGTTATGCTGCAGCTAAGTCTAACAGTGTAGCCTTTAAAGCCTTGATTCTCAGCTGTGGTCCAAAGGCTTCTTGTGGTGCTCTGGTATTTAATATGCTATCCTTGAGCCGGGCAATCAGAGTAGTAGTGGGAGTAGGAGAATAGAATTCTAAAGTTATTGTTTGGCAGTCTCATATAACAAATATCTAGTCCCTGACTGCCTCTTGCAGCATGTCTATAGTCTCCAACCACATCTGTAGCTTGCCCACAGTCTCTGATCATCTTCGAAGTATGTCTGCAGTCCCTGACCACCCCCCATCGTAAATATCAACAGTCTCTGGCCATCTCCTGTGGTATGTCTGCAGTCTCTGACCATCTCCTGTGGTATGTCTGCAGTCTCTGACCATCTCTTGTAGTATCTTGAAATTTTTTGGAAAAAAGTGTCACACTCTGGTTTTGTCATTTGCATAAAAAAAACAATAATCCAATGGGACCAGAACTTAAAGAGTACTGAGAGAGGCATGACTGGATAATGGAGACAAAAATATCCTGAGGGCATGTGGGTCTGATCACAAGGTCTGCTCCACTCACTGCTTTAGAAGTTCTGAATAAACCTTTAAGACACAATGCAACGAGAGTGCCACTTTCCTCCACAAATTCCAAGTTACATTGTGATGGGAGCTGAGTTGCGGCCCCTGCTCTTCAGTTAGCTGTCTATGGGAGACTCCCCACTACAAGTGGGATGCCTTAATGAGATCCCAGACAAGGATGTAACAACTTCACTTTCCCATCTCCTATTTGCAATCTCTGACATGTTTCTATGGCATTGCATGTCATAAATATTATGTGCAGCTCCTTGGTGATATCAGAGTCTGCAGTTCAGGTCTCATTCATCCTGTAAGTTTCCCACTGCTGGTCTAGAGTCTTATCAATTATTTTTTTGGCAAGAGGGTTCCAGGCCC